TTGTCAGTAGGATAAGCTTTTGCTCCTAAAGACAAAACATCTAAAAGAGTTAACTATCAGAAGGGACACGAAGCAACCTACATTGTATACGCAAGCCACAAGTTATAATTAAGAGTGCTGTTTTGTAAGAAATACTAACACATAGGACTTGGTGTTCTATATGATAGTTCATTATTAAAATGAAACTTTTGAAAGTTTTAAAGGATGACAAACTCAGGGTTCTATAACAGTGAGTTTTTCAAAACCAACAGAGTTTAGATTTTAGGAATTTAGCAGAACTGTAATAGAAATGGAATTGTGATAGTTTTCCAAAGCCAGTTTGTGCTTTACAAATATAAAATAGCTATTTTGAAATTCCAGATTGACGGATGTCTATAGCTAGTCCCTAAAGTTCAGTTAAAGAAAAACTTGTAACTGCTGCTAGGAGTAGCAGCTTAGTCCTTCTAGAAAAAGTCCTTCGGAATTTTGCCAATGAAATTACCAGTGACCTTCAGGAAGTGGGTTGAAGAGATCTAAGAGGGCTCTTAACGAAATAGAGACAGAGGCTGCACACATCTGAGATGCTAGCTGATTGGGAAGTATTAAGTGGAGGAAACCAAGATACCGGCGTAAAAAGCTCATGGGAGGCACCAGGCTGAGGTTCAGAGCACAGGTGGTAGGGGTGGCATTCGGGGTCCAATTAGATGCTCTCTCTGAGGTTAAGGATAGACTTCTTAGTGTTATGTCTATGGCCTGAATTTTTCGTCTCAGTAAAGAGAAAGCAGGAAATGCATTAGAAACAATAACCTAAAATGGTTCGTTATGGGGTTCAGTGCAGGAGGCAAAATCACTTTTGGAAATTAAGTAATTCTCAAACTATAGAATACCCATTTAACCCCTTCTTGAAAAATATTTTTTATGATCATATATTTTTAAATGCTTATATACATCTAGGAATCTTTGTACACATTAGGAAAATATGTTCTCAAAGTACATTTTTTTCTTTACAGGTGTGAAAATTGCATTATGTCTTTAGTAGCACCTGTGTGTTTTTTATTACAAAGTTTTGTATATTTGTAGAATCTGGAAAACATAGGAAAGTATATTAAAACTGAAAGTGGTTTCTTATGCCACCACCTAGAGAAAACTATAACATTTTAATATCATTTCTATATTTTCTTTGGCTTGTAAAAAACTGAGTCTGTTGTGACATGTTCCCTTCTGCTCTTAGGCACATGGCGACCCATTCGCCCCAGAAGTCTCACCAGTGTGCTCACTGTGAGAAGACGTTCAACCGGAAAGACCACCTGAAAAACCACCTCCAAACTCACGACCCCAACAAAATGGCCTTTGGGTGTGAGGAGTGTGGGAAGAAGTACAACACCATGCTGGGCTACAAGAGGCACCTGGCCCTCCATGCGGCCAGCAGTGGCGACCTCACCTGCGGGGTCTGTGCCCTAGAGCTGGGGAGCACAGAGGTGCTGCTGGATCACCTCAAAGCCCACGCAGAAGAAAAGCCCCACAGCGGAACCAAGGAAAAGAAGCACCAGTGCGACCACTGTGAAAGATGCTTCTACACCCGGAAAGACGTGCGACGCCACCTGGTGGTCCACACAGGCTGCAAGGACTTCCTGTGCCAGTTTTGTGCCCAGAGATTTGGGCGCAAAGACCACCTCACGCGACACACCAAGAAGACACACTCGCAGGAGCTGATGAAAGAGAGTCTGCAGGCCGGAGACCTTCTGAGCACCTTCCACACTATGGCCCCACAGTTTCAGCTGAAGGCTGCCACACTGTCTCCTTTCCCTCTAGGAGCTCCTGCACAGAATGGGCTTGCAAGTAGCTTGCCACCTGAGGTACACAGCCACATCCACATCCACAATCCCTCAGAGCAAACCTGTCAGCCTGTACAGCCGCTGCCAGAGCCGCTGATCCCCCTCCACCCGGTAGTGTCTCCTAGCTCTCCCCCTCAGCCCCTCCAGAATCACAAGTACAACACCAGTTCTACCTCATACTCCCCACTGGCAAGCCTGCCCCTCAAAGCAGATACTAAAGGGTTTTGCAATATCAATTTGCTTGAGGACTTGCCTCTGCAAGAGCCTCAGTCACCTCACAAGCTCAACCCAGGTTTTGATCTGGCTAAGGGAAGTGCTGGTAAAGTAAACCTGCCCAAGGAGCTACCTGCAGATGCTGTGAACCTAACAATACCTGCCTCTCTGGACATTTCACCTCTGTTGGGCTTCTGGCAGCTGCCCCCTCCTGCTACCCAAAATGCCTTTGGGAATAGCGCCCTCGCCCTTGGGCCTGGGGAATCTCTGCCCCATAGGCTAAGCTGTCTGGGGCAGCAGCAGCAAGATCCCTCACTAGCCATGAGCACTATGAGCCTGGGTCAGCTCCCTCTCCCTCCCATCCCCCATGTGTTCCCAGCTGGCACTAGTTCTGCCATCCTGCCTCATTTCCATCATGCATTCAGATGACTGGTTTTATAAAGCATACTTTTCTTACTTATTCTGGAAGATGTCCTAAGAAGCATTTTAAACGTCAGTTACAAGGGAAGATTTGGAAAGCAGGACTGAGAATATGGCTTATTCAGTGATGACTGGCTTGAGATAAGAGAGTTCTCGAACTGCATGTATCGTGCCAATCTGTCCTGAGTGTTCATGCTTTGTACCAAATTTAATAAGCAAGTATTCTTTAATGGAACTGCAACTGTTGTCATTACCGACATCCAGACGAGGGCTGCTATATGAGGTGTTTGTCAAATTGAGTTTAATTGTAAGCCATGATCATAATCATGTTAACTAAATAACTTTATGTGGCACTGCCTAGTAAGGGAACTATGGAAAGGTTTGGATTTCTCCAAAGTGGGAGAATTTTTTTAAATAAGAAAAATAACCTTTATATTGCATATTATAACTAGGCTGTGTATTTCTTTTCAGGGATTTTTCTACCTTCAGGGTTGGATGTAGTTTAGTTACTATTGCCATAGCCAACCTGTAGTTTTACAGAAACAATTGCTTGTGGAATAATAGAAGTCTCCATTTTAAACAAGCATTTTAAATGTAGTTTGAATATTTTCCACAAGATGCTACAATGTGAGTTATCACTTCATTTATCTTAAAGACTAAACTGGTTGTCAGTTACATCTGACAGAAAAAAAAAAAAAAAATCACTGTGTAACCAGGTTAAGTGGTAAAGTAATCCAGGTGTCAGTCAAAAACATTTTGCTGACTTTAATATTGATTATATTTTTAACAGGAATTTAAGAAAATATTACTGGAATTAAAAAAAATATATATATATATTAAACAAGAATTTTCTTTGCTCTGTCTGGCTTAAGATAGTACTCTGCTTAAGTATTATTTTTAATCACCAATAAGTAATTGCATTTTAAATTCATTTAAGTCAATATTAGTTTTATTAAAAAATAACACTTTGCAATGTAACTATAATGTATCTCTTGAATTTGATATCTAATGAGTTAAAAATATGAAACTTAACCTTTTTTTAAAGCTCTTTTGTCTTTCGTGTTTAGAGGCTTTCTATATGAAGATATATCTTACATATAATAAACTCTACAAATCCTGACTATGGCTTGATTAATTTTTATATACAGTTACATCGCGTAACCATCCAGATCAAAATGTAAAACATTTCCAGCTCCCTAGCCTGCTCCCTCATGCCCCCTCCTGGCCATTACTTCCCCCACAGAAACTACTATTCCTGACCTCTATTCAGTATCTACTAGAAACCAACTTTTTTTTTGCATAAAATTATGATTTAAGATAGAAGCTTATATCCTTCAGTTAAATTCAAAGCACTAAGAACTTATTTCTAAAAATTGCTGTATAATATTCTGAAACTCTCTATAGTAATTTATTTCTGATGTATATAGGTCAGAATAGTAACTACTAAGGTTTAGTCTACCCTGGGCTAGTTTTACAATGGCATTCACCATTAATATCTAGCACAAATTAGAAATTTACTTATTCCTTATTGGGATTTCTTCGGGAAGTATTTTGCCCCCCTCCCCCAAATCTGACAAGTCTATTTTTGTTTTACCTCTCAATAGGGTGGTGGGAGGTAGAGAAAGGGAAGCCTTGAGTTCATCTGTCCATCAAAGAAGCCTGCTAGCCAAATGTGAACAACCGTTGCTCACAGCCCTTACCAGTGATGATGATAGTAAAGGGCCGGAGGCATTTCAGACAAGCTACCTGGGACTGGGCTGTCACATGTGGAACTGACATGGTAGATGCTTAAACTACAGTTTAACCTGAGGGTAGGAAATAAGACAAAGGGACATAGGTTACCTCATCACTAGGAACCCAAAGCTCTGGGATCTCTAAATGAATTCCCATATCTCCTCTCACCTCTCCAAGGGAAGGCAGTCTTCCCAGAGCAAGAGCAAAGAGGCAGGAGAGAGTAATGGCTCACCCCAGTTAATAAAGCCTCACGAGATTGTTATGGAAGCTTACGCAAATCCTTTTACATGGCCTAGTAGTTTTCATTCATTTCCAGGACACGTACCTGATTTACCTGAGCATAAAACATAGCATTTGATCCCCAAAGTACAGATCAGAAGCGTTTCAGATGTTGTGTTTGCCACACTACAAGTAGGAGTAGCTTGGGGTTCTCCTACTTAGGAAAAAATGGATTTTAATGAATTCCTAATTATAATTCTCTGAGTTTAAGAAAAAATAAAAATTATTAGATTAAAAAGCATAAGTTAAATATAAATGATCCTACAAAAAGAGCTTATAAACCCTTAGGGTAACAAAAAAATAGTAGAGCTAGCACCTCCCATTGGAGCTATATAAACCAATGGTGAGATGAACAGTTCACTTCTGATTTGGCCATGATCAATAAATAATGTGGGGCCACGTAGAGCATCCTTTCTACAGAGTGGGAAGGTTACTGTAACCTGTAGCCTCCACTGCAGTGTTTTTCTCCAAAGACCAACTGTGCACTGGTGTATATGAGACAATTCTACATGGTATACAGATGGACATTTAAAATAGGAGTCATTACTATTGATAGTTTAATGCTTTTTAGGAGCAAATAGCAAAGTTGGGATTTCATGGCCAGTATGTAGAATGAAGCTAAGTAAAAAATGATTTTCTTATTAAGTAAATAATGTTAGCATTCCAAAGACTTTCTCTAAAAATTTCTAATATCAAAGCAACATTTTCTTGAAAAGCCTATTAAATGTCCAATTAGAAAAATGCTTCAAGTGCATCTTTAAATCAAGCATTATCACACAGGTTAATGTGTCGTTTAACGATTTTGTTTTGAATATTTTGAAGGAAGTAAATAAGAAAATTTGAAGCTAGTTTTTACTTGTTACACATGATGTCTCAAGAGGAATCATAGTTGTGTAAACAGACATGTACCGAGGTGCAATACTGGGTGCGGAGCCATCCAGGCTGATGAGTTTCAGGGACCCAGTCTGAAAGCAGAAAGAAAAGGCATTTATTAGAGCATCATTATTTCCACACTGAGAATGTTAAATGGGCCTCTTTAAATTCTAGTTATTTTAAACAATTCACAATATCGAAAAAGTCTCCAACATCATACCAATCCTCTTCCACTCAATTGAAGGAACTTCCCTTTTTGGGGGGCAGTATGTTTGGAAAAAGGGGCCAGGTCAAAATAAAAAAAACATTCCCCTTTCCTGTTAAGAATCAACAAGTATCATTTTTGAACTATATTTTTAACAAATGAGTAAGTTTCAAGAGTATACATTTCACTATCATAACTAAGGATTTGCCCACATTTCTCTTTGGTTTGTCAGTTATGGATTCATTCCCTTTAAGGCTCATTAACTGTCTTGCACATTGGATGACCAGCAACACCTGGATTAGAGGTTAATTTTTTTTTTTTCTTACCTGGCCTCTAGGAGTTAATCTTTTTTAGAAGATTTAGTAAATCCTTGTCTGAGTTTTGCTCCAGAAGCAGGGTCCACTGCTAATCCTTTGCAGACATAAACAGATTTGTTATTATGTAAAAGCAAACAGCGAGAAAAAAAGAATGATTATGAAATCCTCACATTGGATTCAAAGTCTGTATCCCGTTTTGTTTTGTAGCTATAGACAAATACTCAAGTCTCCATCCTGGGCCAAAAAAATAAGGAAAACCAGGGACGGTCTCAGGAGCTTTCTCCCCCCTTTGCTTACCCATGGACAGGCCTTTTGACCACCACCTCAGGGGGCCACCGTTTATGCCCGCCGACTCCCAACACCTCTCCCCACAGCTGCCTCGGTTTTCACGTCTTCACAATTCTCTGCCCGCTCTTATGCTAGCATGGGTCTGATAAGCCTTATGGAAGCATGAGATGCCTCCCCTTTCAGGGATTATTTACACAGTGATGGCCTCGTTTCACAAATAGGGTTCTTTGTCTTTGTCTCCAGCAGCTCTGTTAAGTATAGAGAGGTAGGAGCATATAGAAATAGGCACACCATAGTCTATTTTGGACCACGTGGTGTGGGACAGAATTCTCAGAGAAACCATTTTTTTTTTTTTGTAAAAAGGAATAAGTCTCTTCTGTCTCAGAGGTCTCCAATGAGTGTTTTATGAAGGAGGAGTAACCAAACAACCCAGGGAAACTACGACTCAAACTATCAATGGACATAGGAATAGAAAGAGCTTTCGGTGCTCATTTTACCCAAAGATCCACAAATTTCATTTCTTCCAAAGGATAAAATGACCCTTCAATACTCACTATATTTGCTACACAATTAAGCTAGGTAAGGAAGGGATGCTAGTGCAGAGAAGCTGCTTATCTTGATCAAACCCGCTGGCTCCAGAAATGAAAGCCAAGCCTGCCCGACAAAGCTATAAAATGTAATTCACTAAACACATGAAGTGGTACAGATCTGAAAACCAGAACTGCACCTTCATAGTGGTGTGGTCTTTGTCTCTCTATATAAAGGTGCTGGAAAAGCTGAAGCTCAGAGGTACCTTCCCTGCAAATCAGTCGCTCTTATCAAAACCCTTGAGAAAATAGCCACCAGTAGATTTTTGCTGACTAGGCTATACACTCATTTCCCATCCGAACATTAGAATCATTGTGGAAATAAAGGAAGAGCCATACCTTTTTCTAAAGCAGTTTCCTGCTTTATATATTTATAAATATATATATATTTATAAGAATAAATAGAAATAATATGATATATAATATACATTTAAACTATATATGTAACTATCTCCTTATTGTCTATATTTTTTGACCCAGTTTCCCAAAGCGGACAATGGCTCTAACCATTCCTATTAAATTGCTTTTGCAAGTTGCTTTACTCCTCTGTGATTTCCTCATCTATAAACTAGGGATGTGAATGATACATTTACCTCCCTGCGTTACTGTGAGGATGAATGAAGATTAAGAGCTGAAGTGCTTAGAAGAGTAAACAATTAAGTGTGGACTGCTGTCCATGAAGAAGGGAGTTATTTATTATAGCAAAAAAAGTAGAAACAACCTACGTGTTCAACATTAGGAAAATAACTAAATTACATTTGTATTCTTGCATTATGATGCTATGTTTTTAAGGAAATTCTTTGCCATAGGGAAATGTTCAAAATTTGTTAGTGAAAAAAAAAACTCAGGATGTGTTCACGGGCTATGATTCTAACTTTGATAAAAGGAAAACTGAAAATAAAGAATATTAAATAGGAAAAAAATGGAAAACGATATCAGCATTTACAGTGGTCCTGTCAGGGTGTGGAATTATGGATTTTTTTCTTTATACTTCATTTTCCAGTATTTCCTACAGTAAGCATTCATTTCTGACACGATAATTTTAAAAAATGCTTTTTCTCAAAAGAAATCTGGCAGGCTAACTTAAGGTAGCTAGAGACAAGCAGTTCCCAGGCCATCATCACCGGCTTACTTATACGGCATCGACATTAAGAGCCTGGGCACCTCCCCGAGAAACGATGGCCCTCCTGGCTCTAGGGCCAGCCTTCTACTCTAATTTCTACTCACACCCCAAACTGTCTCTTCAGTTTGTCCTCTGCATTCTCACCTTCAAACTGCTCATTCCTTTTGCAACTTTTCTCCACTGGTCAACATCTAGCTCATCCTGAAAGCTCATCTCAAATGCCTCCGCCTTCACCGAGCTCCCCTCTCTTAGACGGTCACCCCATCCAGAAAGCCTCCCAGGCACAGTTGATCTTTCTTCTATTCCCTTAGGACTTTTACATCCCACTGTAAAATATTAGTTTACATTCCACTGTTAAGTATTGACTGCTCTCCCCGCTAGACTTTTAAGACTCCGTGGGCATAAGAAACAACCATGGCAGCTGTGTGTCAGCTTCATAAAACATCACAGGCTCTCTTGTAGCATATTTTCCTGTTCAAGCATATCTTCTCATAAGACTCTGGGGTAGATAAGGATTGTGACTTACACACATGAATCTCCCCAGACTGTGAATTTAGAAAAAAAGTATTATACGCAGGAGATACTAAATGCATATTTTACAAGAGAGAGTTGAAGAACGAAAGCCAGAGTTTTGGGGAGGTTAACTACCAGCTAGAGGAAAGACAATAATAGGCTTCACTGTGGAGGGCAAATGACACCGAGTGGCCTAAACTACCGATTGTCAATCTAGATACAGCAAAGCTCAACAACAACAGCAATCTTAGAAAGACCCTCATATTACAAATAGATGAATGACGACCAGAAAAAAAAAATGGATAGTAGATGCGAATGTTTCACACATGGGCCTGTTTCCATTAGCATAGGTTTTTTTCTCCCAGCCTTAAACATTTCTGAGAATTCACACCCCCCTAATATACTTCTGCTTCCTTCTCAGAATAGTTCTGAACGAAATGTGACTAATTTAAAGGCACGCTAACGCTGATTTTAGTTTTTAAATGTAAGCAGGTAAGGCCACAGGAAAGAATAATAAATTAAAAATGCATCTTAAGCCTGAAATAAAGGAAAAAGCTATCTCTTAAAGCTAATTAACATGACAATGCTATTCATATGACAATGATTTAAGTGAGAAATTATAGAAGCAAGATACCTACTTTCTCCCATCATTCAATTCAAAAAGTATTTATTGAACACCTCACATGTGCCGTGAACAATCCTAACAGGGAGGAATACAGCAGTACAATTAAAAAAAAAAAAACAAAGTAGATAGATCCCTGCCTTCTTAAAACTTACAATTCTTTTTTTTTAGTGGGGGACAGCCAAATATATGTTGAATATTAGAGGGTGACAAATTCCATTTTTAAAAACTGCAAAGGGCATTGTGGAGGGCTTGTTAACCTTAAGAACAGAGGTTGGAAGTTCTCACTGTGAAGATGACAGTCAGCAAAGAACCAGAGGGAGTGAAGGAGGGGGCAGTGCGACTCAGCAGTGGAGTGCTTGGGGTTTCAGCAGTGAGAGCAGCCAGTGCGAAGACCCTGCCCCCGGGTTGCCTGGTATGTTCCAGGAACAGCACCGAAGCCGCTGGAGCTGGACCGAGAGGAAGCAGTGGAAGGCGAGGTCAGGTGGTGGCATAGAACCTAGTGTGGGCCATGTTCAGAACTGTGCCTTTTACTTAGCAACATCGCAAGTGGTTACAAAACACCATTAACTAGTCATAAACAAAAGTATTACCATTTTGCTTAGATCTACTGGCCTCCTAATCTCTTTTCTACTGGCCTCCTAATCTCTTTTCTACTATCCGAATGGTGTCATTATGACGTCTGGCTTAATGCACTGAGATACATGACTTCTGAGGACACTTATGCCTTGCAGCTGTTTTAAAGAAATCATTTCGTTCAAAGAAAGAAACTCTTTTCTTATTCTCAACACTACACCTGATGTGCTGTCCTCTCCCATTCCAATCTCTTTCCAAGTTTACCAGACCAAGGAACGAAGGTCCTATTCTCCGTTGCTGTCCTCGGACTGGACTTTGCACGCTGAAAGGAATCTAGTCCTGGAGAGCCAAGAAATATTCCCTCTTGGCAAATAAGCTTTGACCTCAAACTCAAAGGAGTGCTTTTTACTAGAAGTATTATAATATATTCTTTGAAAAAATAAGAAAATAAACCATAATGCAAAGAAATTACATTATAGCTAACAAAGAGCTCGTTAGTGAAAGTCTTACCAAACAAATACATATCTACTGATTACTATTTTTGTGTGTGTGAAAACTAAAACCTACCTCGTTGTTAAGTTTTCACAGATCAGGAAAAAAACTAGTGACTTGTGTGTATAGGGCTATGGGGACATTTTAAAATATCCATTCAAATTTTAACCCTTGATAAGCAACTCATGAAGAATTTAAAAACTAATAATAAACTTTCTTGTGTTGTTACTTTATGAACTGTGAGACTGGCAGTTCTTACTCTGGTTCTGATAATACTTTCAAAATAAGACTCCTGATCAGAGGTGTCATAGGATCATGAATGAATTCATCTTGCCTTCATAGTGTATGCTGACCATAAATAAAAATACCACATTTATTAATGAAGCTCAACACAAAGGGAGAGCACAATAAATATTTAAATCAGCTCTACTATTTACCAGTTGTGTGCTTTGAGCAAATCACGTCTTTGCTGAGCCTCGGTTTCCCCTAATGCAGATTAAAACATTTGGGGTATTATTGTGAGGAGTAAATGAAATGGACCTCATATACAGTCAGTACTGTAATGGTGGCTGTGCTTTTCTGAAACTTTGAAGAAATTATTTAGTTCTAGGAAGGCAAGTCCCCTTTTTCTTTTTTTCCAGCCTTATTGAATATAACATTGTATAAATTTAAGGTGTAAAAAGTGATGATTTGATATAGGACTATACTGTGGAATGATTATCACATGAAAGTAAGTTAACACCTGTCACCTCACATAGTTACCTTTTGCGTGTGTGGTGGTGAGAACATTTAAGATTTGTTCTCTTGGCAACTTTCAAGGATGTAATACTCTATTATCACCACGCTGTATGTTAGCTCCCCATCTTATAACTGGAAGTTTGTATCCTTTGATCAACATCTCCCCATTTCTCCCTCCCCACTCCCACCCTGCTAATCACCATTAAATTCTCTGTTTTTATGAATTTGACTTTTTTAGATTCTAACTCTATCAGTGAGATCACACAGTATTTGTCTTTCTCTATCTGACTTAGCTCTATTCGCATAATGCTCTCGATGCCCACCCATGTTGTCACAGATGGCAGGATTTCCTTCTTTTTCATGACTGAATAATATTCCATTGTGTGTGTGTGTGTGTGTGTGTGTGTGTGTGTGTGTGTTTGTGTGTACACACATACCACATTTTCATTCATTCGTCAATGGACACTTAGGTTGTTTTTGTATCTTGGCTATTTGAAAAATGCTGTAATGATCATGGGAGTACAGCTATCTCTCTGAGATAATGATTTCATTTTCTTCCCTTATTTTCAAACACATCTGACACGCTATTATCTCCAAATCATCATCTCTCTTCAATTTTACTAGATCAAAAAATGATGGTTCTAGACCCTGCTGCTGTCGTCGGATCTGACTTTGTATATTGTCAGAGTTACTTAGTCCTGCTAAATTAGGAACTATTTCCTCTTGGTAAGCAAGTTTTAACCTCAAACAAACCCACGTATCTTTATATCCAAAAGCAGCATTAGATGTCATCGCTTTTGCTGGCTGCCGATGAATCCCAAAGCCAACAGTGCTCCCCAGTCATTTGATGGTTGAGATGCTCACTCCGACTCACCTGGTTTGGGTGGGACCACACTCGTGGACTCAAGGGCCCTGTTCTGTAGCAGAGCACCCACGGCACTGGTTACCGTCGGTTCTTTCTTCGGACTCATCTGCACCCTACCCTACAGAGAGAGAGGGAACAGTTCCATAACGTCAGGTAGCACACAAGAGTGAAGCTGTTTCCACTTAACTAGCAGCAGATCAGAGTCTTCTCCCGGGACCTACTGCACCCAGGGGAAAGGGACATGCACACCCTGCACCTTAGGTAACCTGGTTCCTGTCCTCACTGTCTGGGATTTGGAGCCTTCATTCCATAGTCAGGCCTTTGCGGGAATGGTGATATGTTAATCCTGCAACATTAGTCGCACGGTGACATCAGAAATCACTTAATGTCAATAAAGATAGTTATGGAACATTTTAGTTTTTCATTGCACTTGAAGATGATTTTGTTTTTAAGTACATGAACAGAGAAGAAAAACAGACGTTGGCAGGCAGCAAATGTTTTAAACATGGAATTCCAACATCCCCACACCACACCCCTCCCCGCTAAGGAGCAACAGCAGAATAGTTATATTAATGTGGAATAAGGACCAGAAGGTTCCTTGGGAGCTACTTTTTACCTTGCTGCTGATCCCACCAACATCTCCATGGGAACTACCTAAAGATAACCTTACTCAGAATGAGAATTCTCACTTGGGCAAGGACAGCTATGAGATTATAGCAGGCAGCTCATCCCCATTCAGACAAAGAAAGCTATTTTCAGAGGCCCATATTGGTCTCTTTTGGTTAAGGGTATAACACTTTTTAAAAAGTCGATTATGTTTAAAATAGAAACACACTTCAGCTGTGCTGTTAGCAGCCCTTCAAACTGAAACCGCCCCTCCCTTTTTGTTCCACTTCTGAATAAGCTTCACTATGAGGCAGGGCGAAGCTGGCATCAGGGGAACAAGCGCTGCCGTTCAGATCCACTGGGCAGCGAGTTTACTGAGAAAGCAAGCAATTCAGCAAGCAAGCAATTTTTCTTCTGTGTTCCCAATCACCACTTAGTTCTGGAAAACAAGGAGAGGAACGGGGCCAAGTCACTGGTTACACTCAGGACGGCCAGCTGGCCTCCTTCAGGAATAAAAAGCACTTCCGTTGCTGCTTCCCAGTGCTCCCTTTGGCCCCACTAAATCCCCACTAACTTCGTGGACTGGTCAGAAGGATCATTCGAAGAAATGTACCGCACCCTTTACTGCTTTAGAAAGTATAAGTAAAATTTTACTCAGAAAACCTTTTCAAAACTAAGTTGAATTCGAGCCCAAAGCAGTCGCATCCCCTCAAAATTGTGGTACCTCTCCTACCTACGAGAAAGGACCACCAGAGAGGGGAAGGAAGTCGAGGTAACGGGAAAAGAGGAAAGGAGGAGGGACCCCCTATGTGAAGGTCCTTATACTATCTATTATCTTCCCCACAACTTGACTTAAGGTACCGATTAAAGTGAGTCTCAGAGAATTTAAGTAGCTTGTCCACGTTTACCTACACTCAATAAATTATGGAATTGAAAGTCAAACCCTGACTACTGATCGCAGAATCTGGGCTCTTTCTACACTGCACTGCTTCTCATACTATTTCAGGTGTAAAGATTGAATCTCTACAACTCTATTTTTCATAACCACCCTGCCTCCTCCACCAACACACCTTTCTCCTCCCTCCCTCCTGTGTTTCTTTATCTGGCTGGTTAGTATTATTATCTGCCTAAGCTCTGGAGCTCAAAACTTTCTTGTCAACCTTGATCCTCTTTTATCCTCTATCTAATCACCTTCTCAGTCCCATCAATTATTTCCTAAATTCTCCCTCTACTCCCCGACCGCCAGTCCTCTGGTCCCAGACCCTCATCCTGTCCCTGTTGCTGCTCTCCCACCAACTCATCTCGAACTCTAATTGCAAAAGCGATCTTTCTAAAACACCAATCTCATGTCACTTCAGTCTACACTGCCCAACCGGTCTACGCTGCCTAGAGAAGGACACGTGAGGCTGATAATAGACAACTGGACAGAAAAGCCAAGAAAGGCCGTATACAGAGAGACTAGGAAGCGAAGCACAGTAGGAAAAAAAGGTGAGATGGAAAGATGGGAAGGACTTTCTGGGTCCCCGCGGACTTCACAGTTCCTGCTTCCAGGCCCTCGGGCTGGCCGCCTCAGCTTTGAGGGCATCTATCCACTTAATCCCTCTCTTCCTCCTCCCTGACCCAGCTTGAGATCTGATGCCGTCCTGCTTGCCTGTGCCACCCCGTCACCACCCCCCGCAGCGCTCTATGCTCTAGTCTTTCCAGCAGGGCTCTTCAGGCCACAGGCTGGACCTTTTGTCCACAATGTGGTTCTCAACTCCAGCTCTAGGCCGGCGAACCCATTTGATATTTAAGGGGAAAACGTTTGTTCCTCTTTGAAGCTGTCCGTGAATCCCACTGGCCTCTTCCTCCACTGGGCTCCTGTATTAGTCAGCTACCACTCCTGCCTGCTGCACTGTTTCCAAAGCCGCCGCCTCCTTTGAATTACAAATCCTTGATCAGCCAGCACGTAGCAGTGTCTGGTACAGAGCAGATTTTCAGTAAATGTCTAATATGTGTGAAGACAGAGCTCAGAACCCAGAGTCCGTGGGATATGTGTTATTGGAGAGAGTCCCACCCTCTTCGCTGCTGGATTTCATGGAACTCTTTCCGAACATGTTTCATACTCTTAAGTATGTGAACCAGTTTAATCTTTTCTTGGTGTTTGAGGCATGTTTATAAAACTAATAGTTTTTATGCTATACTGTAAGTTATGTCCCTGGGACCTTTGATGTTTGTAGAGCTGTTTGCTGGCTCTAGTTCTGTTTTTATACATCTTTGTCTTCCTGGTCAACTTGTCATTTTACTTATTTGTACCTAATTGTAACAGTTGCTTCCATTTGTCCACTTTAACTTGCTGATTCTGTAGCTTTAAATAAAAGGCTGAAGACTCCTCTCCTACAGAGCAAATCGCATGGCCTGTAGGAGCGACAGCTTCCTCCACTCAGGCCAGCTTCACTTCAGCGTCATAATTCTTTTCTGCGTCGTTAAGGCTGATAACCACTGTTGGACAGAGTTTAATACTATAATATTATAGAAACACTACTTATATATTCAAGTCTTCCTACTTTTTCTACAACACTCAAAGGTATTATAAGCTGGAAACTCAAAAGGAGCCAATTCCCATGAGAATGAGTGACAGTGACCAGCTATCTCGATCCTTACATTTTCTCAGGATGGGTAGCTTAGGTTCCCCATCAAACTCTACCTACTTGCCTCAGGCATGCAAGGGCCCAAGATCCAACACCTAGGGAGAGAGATTTACCTGGGCTCTGGATGCCAACTTGGCTGCTGTCTGGGCTGGATCAAAGACTCGACGAGAAGATTGATCCTTGCAGAAATTGATATGTCGATTTGCTGCATTTTCATTAAACCTCCTCATACAATATGGGCATTGAATATAATCTGAATATAAAGATAATAAGAGGCAATTAGCATTTCAAAAATAACTCTGAAATGAAATAACATAGGATATGGACTCTGCTCCAACTTGAAAGAACAAGATCTCAAACTCTGGTTTGAGACAGCCTGTTCCAGAGGGGAGGCTTGTGAGGACTCAAATAAAGACCATGGAAGGGGAAAATCGTGCTACCTATGTACTTATTTCAATTAAGAGTGTGCCCTTAAAATGTTTACACAATATGTTTTTTAGAAAATTAATTATACTTAGGAACATTCCAATTAAATGTATTTAGTGGATGCTTACAGAAAAAAAGTAGTCCTAGAATCACAGAATGTTAGTATCGATGATCCTGAAGGACATACAAGATGCAAAAGCCCACGTTGTGGTACTGGGTGGGACAGAAAGTCATACAGGAGTTATGGCACTACAGAGGGAGAGAAGATATTTCAAAATGTGGGTTTGGGGGATGGGATTTGAAACCAGTGTCCCTGGCAGAAAGACACACTGCTTCTGCACTGCTCGATGTTTTTCTCCGAACTCCGGAGTGAGGAGGAAAATAATACATTCAGGAAGGAGGTAGGAAAAGGGAAAAAGGCAGGGATTCAAAAAAGAGAAAAGGAAAAGGAGGGGTGATTGGAAAATGGCTCCAGAAACAGCTCAGCTTCCAGGGTTATAACCTCCCAGGCAGCTCTGTAGGCGGTAGGTCCTCTCTGGTTCTGCGAAATACCCAGTGTTCTCAGCTTGGCTCTGATGTGCAATTACTAGACAGTGAGAGAAATGGGAAGTGAGAAAGATCCCAGGTCAGCTTAGAACGTGGAGATGCTCACAGCAAAGCCAGGTTGGAGCCTACCCCTCTAAAGCAAGCAGAGGCGTCGGTTTGGTTTGGTTTGGTTTTAGGCAACTTTTCTTAAGGGATAACAAGGTGGATAGGAGCAACATAAGAGAATAACTTTCCGCCCAGGAAGGATCTGACACAGCAGCGATCTTGAACTCTGTATGGAAGTTTGGGTTAGCGTGGAGTCAAAATTCCTACCTATGTGGGTAAATGTTTAAGGCGATGATTTCTTCAAAGTTAAGAGTCTCCTGAAGGTTTCCTTTTAGGCAGTTTGGGGAGCTTTCCAGTTTAAGAAATCATTTCCTAAAATGAATACTCATACAATGTAAGAATTGGAAGAAATTAGAATGAAATAAGTGATTAGCGCTTAACCAAACCTTTTATTTCACACTCTAGAAGGCAATACTTAATCATTGATTAAATACATATTGAACATCTATTATGTGTCAGGCACTGTTTTATACTTGGGGATACATGGTTCTGTAATCAAGGACTAGGCATTCTAATACAGAAACAACATTTTCCCACAGTGATAAATTTCTTGAAAAAAATAAAATAGGACAGCATTGGGAAATGATGAAGGCTCTGCAACCCGCCTGACTGGTTTTGAGCCCCAGCTCCTCACTTGCTATGTGTGTGAACTTGGGCAAGTTTCTCAACCTCCTTAAGCTTCAATTTCCCCAGTACCTACATATCACCTCTTTCATCGGGTTGTTGTGAAAGTTAACTAAAATAATCCACACTAGGGCTCGGCACAGTGGGCGGGGTAGAACATACTAGTACTATAAAGAAACAGGTCTGGCAAGGTTGTGTTTCCAATTACCAAACCAGAATGAAACTGCTTAGAAAAAGTGAAATAGAAAGTGCCATTATCACATGAAACTCACAATGCTGTAGAAAACCGTCAAGGGCTCGGCTCCTGGCTTGGTGGGAACAGCTTCAGTCTCACCAGCTGAAAAGTCACGGCTTATATTAAAAATGCTGTTACCGTGACCCCTAATCAGTTCAGGCAAAGACAGAGATTATGGCAACGGCTGTGATGCTTCCCTAACCTCACTTGTCCATCCATCGCTACCCTTCTGTGTGTTTGGACCATAAGCCACCATGGAGACAACAAAGTTGAAGTGTATTTCCCTGTCAACAAAAACAACTAGAAGAGACAAGTCGAAGGACTAGGCAAAGCAGCAGAGAGGTACCATTCTGTGCAGTAAGCTGCGAAACTAGGAAGCACTGGGTCCTCCAGGAGCCCGTAGGAGGGACATGAAGCCCTGACTTAACAGGGGCAGAGGAAGGGAAATACCCTGAGAGGTAAATACCCTGAGAATGGAAAAAGTATTTTTCAGCAACAATAATCTGAACATAGCGTGACTGAGCTACGTGTTCTACGACTCGTGTCTTAATCTGAGTTTCCTCTTCCTCTATCAATAACGATGTCATAAAAATAACTATGTACTATTTATTTATGTACTATTTATTTCAATAGATAATGGTTTTTAAAAGTTGGACTACACGTGAATTTGTATGAAGACTATGTGGAAGATGGTCAGATCTCAAAAAAATTTAAAGTAGAAAAACAATCATTTTAAAATGCAAGCATTTTGCTGACTACCCATGTCTATATAGCCCTCTGAAATAGTGACCAAATGTCCCAGGCCTCACAGAAAATCCCAATCATAAATATTCAATGTCACTTTTCTCATTAACTATCACATCACGGAAAACTGAATGATTGGCAGACTTAACACAGTAAGAATTAGAACAAATATATACGTGTCACAAAAACTGAGTCATGAAATACAGAATCATGCTGAAAAAAATGAAAATTATTACAAACTCATGCAAACGAGCCCATAATATATATCTCTAATTATGTCTCTACACATTTTCTAGTACGTAAGCCTGAGAATATATATGGGCTAATATAAGATGCCCGAACAATCAAAACAATTGAATACTAATGAAATGTGCTATTGTAAATAATAATTTTGTTTGGTGCATAAAATTATAGTAAGGACACACGAGTGAACTGAATTATAAACTACATTTTAGCATGAAAATATAAAGAGCAGAGAAATAAATGTACGTTTGACGAGGCCTTACAATGTGAATTATTTAAAAAAAACAATAATCTCCACATTTTAAATCCAATGTGAAAATGACAGAAATCCACATAGCAGGACATCTGACATGGTTTCGCTTATTCAACTAAAGAACCATAAGCTAGCCATTCAACTCTGTAGCTTCTACTATTAAAATGAACTATTCCTCATAAAAGATGTGTTTGTTATATGAAGCTTGTTGCCAAAGTATTATCAAAATCTTTTTACTGAAAATCTTAAGACAACACATTGTTTTGACCACTTTTTCATTAGCACCCAGAAAAAGTGAAGCATTTACTAAAATCATTTCTGTTATAGAAGTTCAGATGATTTATTTTCCAGATGATTTTATAGCATGATTACACAGGGTTTTTTGTTTGTTTGTTTTACTTTTAAAAATGAACTTTGAGGACTAATTTACATACAGTAAAATGCACCTATTTTGAATGTACAATTCAATGAGTTCTGACACATGTATACATTTGTGTAATGACACCAGTTAAATATAGAACAATTTCATCACTGAAAAAAGTACTCTTATGCCCCTTTCAGTCAATATTCTCCCAAACCCAGTCACAAGCAACCAAAGATCCATTTTCCTGTCGCTAAAAATGTTATGCCTATTCTATAGTTTCATATAACAGGGACGTTTATGTTGCTGCATGTGTAGTAGCAATTTCTTCTTACTGTTGAGTTGTATTCCATTTTGTAAATATTCCACAATTTGTTTATCCATTTACTTGTTGATGAACATTTCCAGTTGTTTCCAGTTTATGCAATATAAATAAAACTACCATGAACATTAATTTTCAAGGATATGTTTTCAGTTTTTTACATAAATACCTAAGATTGCAGTTACTGTACAGTTAAGTATGCTTAAGAAAATAGTGTGAAGTGGCTGTACTATTTTATACTCCCATTGGCAGTGTATGGGACTTCCAGTTGTTCCACATCTTAGTCATTTCTTATTATCAGTCTTTAATTTTAGCTGTTCAAGTGGGTATGTGGTGATATCTCACTGTGGTTTTAATTTACATTTCCCTGATGAGAATCAGGTTGAATATCTGTTCTTGTGCTTATTGGCCATTATTTTTTAATGTGTCTGTTCAAGTACATCTCGTTTTTTTTCCTATTGGATTGTTTGTCTTATTGCATTGTATGAATTCTGTATATATTTTTGATATGAATCCTTTGCCTAATTTTTGTACTGTGAATATTTTCTCCCAGCCTGTGGCTTGCCTTCGCATTCTGTTAATGATGTTTCTCAAAACTGATTTTCTCAATTTGGGTGAAACTCGATTTATCAATTTCCTTTTTTAAAATTGTTAGCATATTTTGTGTCCTGCCTAAGACATCTTGACTCTTAGATCCAAGATTATTTTTTTCTAGAAAATTTATAGTTGTAGCATTTATGTTAGGTCAATGATCCATTTGAATTAATTTTTGTATATGGTGGAACGATCAAGGTTCATTTTTCTCATACTGATATCAAGCTATCCCAGCATGATTTGTTGATAAGGTTATCCTTGCCCACATTGGATTACCTTTGTCAAAGATCAGTTGCCTGTAGATGGGGGACGAGGGTCTAATTCTAGATTTTCTTTTCTGTTCAGTTGATGCACCAGTACCAAATTGTCATGATTACCGGAACCTTGTAGTAACACTTGATGGCAAGTCTATGTCCTCCAATTATATTCTTTTTTCAAAATTATCTTAACTATTGCAAATTCTTTGAATTTCCATATAATTTTAGAAAAAGCTGGTCAATTCTTACTCAGGAAAGAAAACTTGCAGGAATTTTTATTAGAATTACATTGAGTCCATAGATCAATTTGAAGAGAATTGACATCGTAACACTTTCCTGAGTCTTCCAAGCCATGAAAATGGTATATCTTTCCATATATTTTGTTCCTCTTTAAGTTCACTAAGCAATGTTTTATGGTTTTTATTTGATAGGTCTAACATATATTTTCTTAAATATATACCTAAGTACTTAATGTTTTGACATTATTGTAAGTGGTATTCTTAATTTCATTTTTCAGTTGTGGATGCCTGTATACGGAAATAC